ATTTCAGATAGGATCACTCTTTCAATTACTTTACGTAGAACACTTTATTTTGGAGAAGTATTGAATAAAAGATTGTATTGAGGTTTTATTTGTCTTAATTCACAATTTTGACTGGTTTATTGTTCGAAATCATAAACTACGTGAAACGATTAGCATGTCGCATGAAGATGGAATATATATCATGAAAATTTTGTAGATCTAGTTACATATATACTGTGAAAATACCTATGCTATGCAATAGTTGTAGCTTTTCGCAGTCGAAAATATGGTTTTAAAATCCAAGCCTCTCTAAAAGCGCTAGGGAGTAGACTTTCAAATATCGACAAAATGGCGATAAAAAGAAAATAAAACAACTAAGAAAATTATAATATAAAAAAAACAAAAGAAGTAGAAGAACTCAATTTTCATACTCTATTACATGAAGTGGGGACGGCTGATTTTTCTATTTTTAAAATGAAAATTTTTAGTAGCATAGACGTGTGGGCATTGCAGGCGTGTCCTTTGGTTAGTTTAGGTAATTTTCAAATTCCTTTGGAAAGTTGTAGGCGATATTGATTCATTTTCGCTAAGGGGAGAAAGTTTACTACGTATACTATAAAGTTGTGCAGATAGACAAATGGAAAGATGAAGAAATGGATATGTTAATGTGTATTCCAAATTCAAAACTATGTATATATATATATATATATATATATTATTATTAGACAGCAATTATAAAACAATTGAGATAAAAAGCGATTTAAGCTCACAGAAACTGATTTAATGTAATTAAAGAACTTTAAGAGATTTATTGCGTTTCTTTGTATGCGTCCATAGTAATAAGCGTTTTGCATAATGTGTCTTTTCGTGGGTCTTATAAATTTCTCATCATAAGCAATTTATGGTTAAATTTGCGTTCCGGATGCCATCCATTTTGCGCACCATCACACCATCCATCGCACATCCACACTTTACTTGTGCTGAAAATTTACCCACAACTTACTCAACGATAATTACAATTTCTGCTGATGATGATGATGATGATGCGGTTGTTCTTGTAAGGCATTAATATTCATTTGTTATCCAATTAGAAGATAAAAGCAAACACTATCAAGTTTAACGATGTACGTGTTTCGCTCGCAACGAAGACGTTGAGCATATTAGAGAGAATCGACATGAATTTCGTCAAATGTCTATTAAAAGGTAAAGAGATATTCTCTACGGTCTCATGCGATTTAAGAATAGTTTCTCTCTCAATCCGGCAATCCGGCTCTCCGGCTTATCGGAGATTATTAGATTACGTTCATATGATGAAATGATAAACAATAATATCAACATTCAGAAAATGTAACCGACATAAGCCACTTTAACTGTCATCGTAGGTTAAAAGCTGACTCTTCATCTTTATCTCTTCATATTGCGATGAGTTTGTTTCGCCCCAGGCCGGCTAATGTCAGCTCTTCTACATTTCGAATGCGTCTGTTTGTTTGCAATTCCCATATATATATATATCGCCGGCTTGAGAGCAAAATTATTTAAAAATTTCATTGAACTAATGCATGGTGTATGCAATCACATCGTAAGTTATTGGAATATGTATTAAGAGGATATGTTCAGAGCGTTTGCATTTATAATAATTCTTCTATGAATATGAAAATTCGAAAATAATAATACAAAAGAACACGGGATGGCGTAACGCGACCAGTTGTCGTGCATTCAATCTTGAAATTTGCCTAATATGGTAGATGAAGGAAATAATTCAAGGAAACTGAGAGACTCTTATTTCGCATACCAATATACTCCGGGCGAGGCTGTTACGTACGTCCATATGTTATTTTTAGATATCCTCTTGATCAAGTCCTAAATTGATATACGCCAGCCGTGTACGAAGGATTTTTGGGCAGGTGCGATATAAGTAACGTAAGTTTATTGGTAATTGGTTAATTTTTATAATCATTGTTTTTAGATCCTCGTTGGAAGACTAGTACTTAGAAATACGCATCAGAGATCCCATCGACCACGGGCGGGTATAAGTTAAGTGAGCTGAAGCAGTTGCTTCTCGAAGTAAACCACGTTATTTAAAGAGGCAGAGGCGATTACTTAATTGCAAAGATATTTGGGAATTACATATTGTATGTGACAGACAGTGGTCAAAGCGGTGTTTGAACCCGCGCATGCGGCTTGAAAAAGCTTGTCTTTTTCGAAAGCGGAAGTGATTGCACATCCAAGACGTTTAAAATGGGGATTTTGCAACCTAACTCGTTCTACTTCAGGCATATCCGTAATGTTCTTTAGAAAGGATTCTAAAGGAGATCAAATCTATATATAGCTTACTTAAGTTCTCATGATTTATATTTTAATAATTCACGGTTTAATAATTTCACGGTTTTAAAGGCGCTTATTGCTCTTCTTGTTTTCTATCTGTCGACAGAGTTTCATCCACATCCGCATCAATTGAAACCATTGATAAAGGAAAGCTTGTAAACGGATCTTAGATTAATAGATTACGTTCATATATTTCGATTTCAAGGCTACTGTCACAGTTCGAGAAGACAAATAAGCCGTGATAATATTTTCAAATAATTGCTATCGATAAAAATATATATTCTTTGTGTGGCTGGTCAAAACCACAAAAAATATGGCCATTTTGTTAAATAAATATGTAGCAATGTTAAGACGATGAACTATGTGCTTACATGGTAACACGGTCTTGTTTACATTGCTTAGAGGCTACAGTTAGATAGCGAAAGCCAAAAATTAAAAGTTCAGATTCTTCAAAGGCTACAGTTAGGTAGAATTAGAGGTGACGAGGCGAGGTCTGTTGTCGATTTGCTGAATTCTAAAAGAATAGGAAGATAAAGGAAAAAATAAGAAAATAAATGCTTCGGACACCTGCACCAGGGATGAGAAACCTTGTTCATGTACGGGCCAATTTCAATTTTCCTATTAGAACAAATTAAATAGATTATCAAAAAGGTAATGAACACTTTTAATACTATCAGGTAACAAAATGAATATAGTAATCACATTGCGCAAACTTCAACGTTTCAAGGCTATAGTAATTTTATTCCTGATTTATTATTACACCATAATTGGGAAGTATCTAGCTAATAGATATTCGAAGGATTGCTCCTAAATTTGAATCCGTTTATTGCTTTATCTTTTATCTGATTGCTGTACATTCCAGCAGCTATTGAAGGCAGATGCAATCCATTTGCAGCATTGCTATGTGCGAGCAAATTAAATGAACTGGCTGGTCACGGGCCGTCGATCGCCCGCGCCTACACGTCTTACACAGTGGCAGAATGTGCTTAAAAATTGCACACATTATTTTTCATCCATATAATAACGCAACGTTAATATGGGATGGGCGGACAGTAGGTCACGTTTTGTCGAGGTGCGGACATAAATCGAAATTCTTTCTAAATATTTATGTTAAAATTTACATCCGTCCCCTGAACGGCAATCCATTTTTGCCAATTTCACTGGGCGTAAAAGATCAGTTTTCACTTTCAGTCGTCACTAGAAAATATCTCGAATTTAAATTTACTGATTGAAATGTTCGGTTCATTTTGCGCGCCTCCACCTCTTAATGTTACTCGCAACTAAAAGAATTAACCCATCCTTTTAATACCCATTAGTTTTGTCAAACCGTTTACAACACGTACAAGAGAGGTTTAGACAGACGCACCGTAAACTACATATAATCTTGATCAGCATCAAATTAGAAACCGGTTTAAGTATGTCCATCCGTCCGTCTATCTGTCTTTCTATTGACTTTAAATTAGTCGGTCTTGAAAATAGTATATACTGGTCAAAGGACACGACCACAGCACGGCGTAATTCTGATATAATCTCTCTGTTTACGAAAATAAAAACAATCTTGATTTTTGCTCCTACCTTATAAACCATAACAGAAACAACGATAACAATTTGCACTTGTATTCTTTGGATGCCTAAGCAATATTTTAAGTGATTTTTTCACTTTCTCGAAGTTTTCTGCTTATTACTCATAAGGTAAACGAGACAAAATGTCGCAAGTTATTCTGTATATTGCTCACATGCAGATATATTGTTTGTCCAAGAATATGTCAATTCCAAAATAAATACGGTGGACACCATAACGCGTAGAATTCGTTTTTTCTTAACAGTGTAATAAATTGGTTATGAAATAAAAGGACAGTATATGACGAGTAACGTTGATGGGCATATAATTTTCTTACAAATCATTTCGTTATCATGTCGTTAGAAGTTCATCAATTTTTCGTGTAGAGTTAGAAGTGCGTTTGCCGTTCTTTACACATATATAACAGTTTTAAATACATATTAATACCGCGCTAAGTGCCTCATATATATACGTGTATATATATGTATAAACATTGTTTTCTAACAAGCAATAATTTCTAGTTTCTGTCGATATGTGGGCGGCTTTTTCATGGCAGTGCTATATATATATATGTATGTAAAACAGAAGTATAATTTTTCCTGTTAATTAGTACGTAACGTAAAACCGAGAATATTATTAATTAAGTAAATAAAGTGTAATAAAAAAGTTATCGAAATAGAAATAAGAAAACATTTGTAACGAGAAAGTGACTAGAGAACGCGCACGTTTATCTTACTTGAAAAGGAATATGTTTATAAAATAAAGGAAATTATTTCTTTTCTTTGTATTATAAGTTTTGCTTGTCAATCGTAACACTAAGTGGACCACAAAAACGTTTCAGTTTCCCGTTAAATTATTGAATCATTATTATTATATGTATTATTATTTTTAAAAAATATACTATTTGGACTATAAACATCATCACGAACATGTAAAAAGTGTTAAATAACCAAATTTTGATGGGAAACCATTTAAATGAAGTAAATGAAAAAACTTTGTATTTTTCTTCTATTTCGATTTTCAGTTGTTATGTAGCTGCTCTTTTTTTATGTTTGTTTTTATGTTTTTTTTTTTTTTTTGATTTTTGACTTTTTGGTTTTTGCGTGTTCGTGTTTTGCTTCTTTTTTTTATATTTTTTATTTCTTTGTTTTGAATAGTTATCAAATATCCGATTATTAATGAAATATCCAATGCCTTATGCTATACGAATGTTACTTATAATAGACTTGTTTGTCGTTCATGTGTGTACGTAAGAGAGAAAGTATGTTGTCATCGTCGACAAATCATTACTGCAAATACTGCAAATAACACAACCGAGAGTATGGGTCTCATTAAGGATGCTGATGCGTGTTGCATGGCAGCTGGTTCTTCTCCTGTAAAAATATTAAGAGATCATCTATGAAAATATTGCATGCGAATAGTGTGTATAAAAAGCGATTATATACGTGGAAGGATGATTGGAAATTGTTTTTATTTTCAAAGAACATTTCGCGCACTTTCCGCTCTGGTTTCGTTACATCCACACACGGGTCGGTATCATTGACTTTTTTATTATAATTGCTAATAAATAAAAAATGTGAGGTAGAGAGTAGGTGATATAAGGCATTAGGAAACATGGAAAAATTTTGAAATGAGGATGACGGAATGTGGACGCGGAAGAAAAGAAGGACCCGAGAGAAGTCTTTTTAAAGGAATAAAAGATTAAAAATCAATATATATATGAATTTATTTAAGAGTCTATGTTGATTGGACAATATCCGTTCGCTCCTCCATTTAGCTTATTATAGGTTTTGCAGAAATTCAGATTGTAATTTATTTACGTAGTATAGGTAGGCATACTTGTCTCAATTTTATCTATTTTGGCTTTGCAAATAGATTTTTCAATCTTTAATGCGGTTTTACTAATAACTTAGACATGTCGAGAACATTAACTGAACAGAAACATTATCTTGATTTTTATTAAAAATCGTTACCCCATATTAACGCATTCACACGCCCACAATTTCGATATAGAAAATGGATATTCAAATAAATATTCTGAAATGAATTTCATTCCATTCGTTAGTTGATTTCATCTATTTGTGATGGTTAGTTGTTAAAAGATATGTATGTAAGTTGGAGAATATTTGCATATGTGTACAGACCATTGAGAACGTGTACAATAACAGTGCCAGTAATATCATTGCCCAGCATGCACGTATAGTTTCCTGTATCATGACGATTGGCATTGGCTATGTAGAGACGACTCAATGCACGTCCGGGTAGCATATCTGTTTTCACGCTGTAAAAAAAAAAAAAAAATAACAATAAAAATCATATTTAAAAAGAAAACAGATCACATCAAGAGCAAACTCTAAACGGAGCAACAGCGTTGGTTCCGTACAAAACTTATGCAATAGTAAAAGTATTGAAAGTACACAAACAAAATAAGGGAAAATATTATTTAGAGAAATTTTAATAATATTAGCTTATCGAACAATTCTGTGTGAATAGATAGACACACGCACTTACACATTCATACTTATAGGTAAATATATATTGAAAAGAACTTTATTTATATATTCGAAGCATACAAAGCAACGGAATGGAAGCCAAATGCATCTATTCTCGATGTTTGCATAAAAACTAACGGAATTATGTGGAGTATGAGAGCCATTTAATTAAAACTCTATAGCAGTCACGTAAATGCAACGCGTTAACTTTGATTTTTTTTTTATATTAAATCCTATGTTAAAATAAGAATAAAAAGTAAATATTTGTGGAGAGGTAGGTTATGTGAATTTTCAATGATTGTACAATCGAATAATCATTTAATTGGTTGCAGAATCTAAATTGTTTTCTAAATAAAAATTTAAACTCCCTTTTGGACAATACATATGCTATTTGCAAATGCACACAACATGTATGCAAAATAACACGGATTTCGAAATAAAAAGGCATAGAATCGTTTCGAGGGAAACAACAAGGTAAATAGATTTTTTGCAAACCAATATTCATCGTTAAGTATACGCCTGAGATGTTATATGCGAAGTGATCGGAAACGTGCTCCGATCTGAAACAAAATATATCGGTGTACTAGATTTCATCAAAATATCTTAAAAATCTGCCGCCTCTAGGTTGAGCAAAGGAGAACCGAACGGACGGCTGGACAGACAAACTTAACCTGATTTAGAGAGTAATGCTGAATCAATTGATATAATAAAAGGTGCGTGTATCACAAGTCCTTTTGTGTGTTGCATACATACATCCGCACTAACTTAATATATTACCCTACCTTTGCTTTATTTCTGCAATATTGAGTAACAATAGTACAATTACATTTAGTTCCATGTTCCATGCACTTTTCGTTTAATTTTTCGTAAAATTTTCTTCTTTATACCGTTGCACTACACTCCATTATTATAATAAAAAAGTTCAGTGCCATGCACGTAGAGTAGTTCGGAAATCTGTCTTGGTTTTTGCAATTTCCACATTTATGTTTAAACGACTGAATGCTAAAGAAAGCCCATAAAAATAACAGATCCGGTTTCAACGTTGCTGGTATATGGTTACTGCCCTAGCAGTGCAGATGTTATTCAGAATACGGGGGAAAATCTGTTCTTTTCAATTTTTCAATTTTCATCGAGAAGCGAAGGTATTTTCTCAATCGTGCTAAACAATGCAGGGCAACGTTTTTACTGGAGTCTGGTGTAATGATTCACAGAAGTTAATTTTAATAATCTGGTATAATCTCATTGCATGGTCTATCGTAACGATAGTACAAATAAGTCAAGTCAACTAATGGTTTGTGACATTGGGAAGTTCCCAAGTACAAAACGAACCCATCTCTTGCTGACAGTTTAAGATCGATTGCTTTCACCAGCAACTTGTTCTCACTATAAACTAACGAAAAAAAAATCTCTTGTAAACAAGCTTTCCTTGACGCCTGCTTTGACATTGTTAAGCATGAATATACCCCTGATGTTAACATTATCGGTACATATTTTTGATATATGTTGGTTTTAACGATTGATGTCAACTCGTAACAACATCAACCAACAACAACAAAACTTATTTATAAAAACAGGTAACATATGCGTATCATATTTTATATAATATAAAGAAGAAGAAGAGCAAAAAAATGCATTACATCATATATGTTAGAAAAATACTGATTTTACAGGTAAACTGATGCATATTACCGCTGCAGTTCATCTGCAGTAACAACATTCTGCTGTTGTTTTTCTTTCAAAAATAATAAATAAAATTTTTCATCGGGAATTTATTTCCGACAGTGGATTAAAATTGCATTTTTTCACAGTCAAATTCACGCACGCCTGGGTTTTGAAAAGATTTGTTTGATTCTGCGGAATAGGTGTTGTTTGGTGCTTTCCCGGCTATGGAGAGTCGAAAACGTATTTTAGCTTTTCACTATGGATAAAGTAAGAATGGCATTCAAGCGTTTATGAAGAAGATGTATTGAAAGAAGGCAGTGTCAAATCTGGTCCTCTGAATTTACCAAGTCCTAGGAGTTCAGTTGAAGCTGCTGAGGACAAAATGATGGGATTAACTGATGCAAACCGACAAATAACACACAATTTGCAGCATCGTTGCGAGATTACATTCATCGAATGCGATCGTTCATAGTAATATATTTATTTGGTATAAGGAAAGCGTTCTTCATTTCGACCAACAAAAATGACTTTGAAATAACTTTTCGAACAGACCAATATATGGTAGAGTTAACACTTAACATTGCACTTTCATATGGTAAATAAGGGGACCCGAGGAGGAAAGAAGTGTAAATTGATTCGACAATGTACTAATGATTCAAAATTTCAAGAATTATCATTTCTCTTATATTAATGTTATAGTCTTGTACACACAATAATTCACTTGCAGAGACCTTTGATGTATTAGTTTAAGGTGAATGGTCGATTATAGTGTTTTTTTTTTTTTTTTTTTATTTATTTATTTGTTTTAATTTGGATTTTGGCTATTATACGCGTATGCATGAATGCGTTCGAATGCTCTTGAAATTGTTTAAAAACATGAATTTTTTAATTAAATAAAGAATTTTTTCCAGTAACCACTAATTATTTATTTGATTTTCTTCTGGTAAATTTTATTCATTATTTTAATGAGATTATTTACATATGTAGTTTTTGCAGCCTATTAAAAAAGATTAAATCCCTCTTTTACATACATTATATGTTATATAATATATATTTTGCAAATGATGTATGTGTGTATGGATTGTTGGCATTGCTACGTAAATTTGCATTTGTATTTCATTTTCATCGACCAATTTTGTATAAAAGAAGCTTTCGAAAGTCTTTTAACATCTTAACATTGAAAGAGTACCGTCTTTATAGATTAGAAGATTGGAGAAGAGGAAGATACATTTGATTTGGCGAATGACTGATTCGATTATTATAATGTATACTCTTAAATGAATAAGCGATTTTTGTAAATGCCTCTCGTGAAATTGAATTGAACTAATTGTACATTTGCTGTACATTCGCAGGCATCGAGCAACGTAAAATGATTTCAAAATTTTAGCATTTCAAACGCACAATCTATGCATACTCAAGCAGGCACTCATCCATCCACCACTTGTTTGTGGTATTAAGTCATTTTCAATTTAAACTTAATTTCCCATTTTGACAGTTTTGTTTTGTTTCTGGTTTCGTTGGTGCACGAGAGATGTCACCATGTCAGATACAAACTTACCTAATGCCGCCACGACTGGTGTCATAGTTAAGCATGCGGGTGCCGTGACGCCAAGTTATATATGAGGAAGGCTGCGGAATTTTCGAAATTACACATTGTAACTCTATTGTGCTGCCTGCCTTGTAATACTTTTCGGGGGTAGTGGAGCCACGTTCATCAAGTATTTCCACATGAGGAACTGCAAGTGAAATGTAAGTGAAAGGGAAAATGTACAAATAAATAAGCAAACATTTTCTCTCTCTTAGAAGGTGTAAATGTATGCATAAACATTCACACTTTATATAACGCATCGAGGAATATTTTTTTTTGAAGAAATTTCCCTTTAATGAAATCGTAACATTTAGAATATAAAACGAATGAACATTCGAAGCACAAAATTCATATATTTATCTCCTTGTCAACCATTCAATTCCGTACACGCCGTACGATACATAGTGATACCATTCCAATAGTGCTTTTGCTCTATTAACGCGCTATATAAAAAACGTTTTGGGAAATGGTTGTGAAAAGGAACAATAATATGCGTTGTAGCAGGTACGTCAAATTGTTCATGATCGCAATAATTCGAAGCAAATCGATCTTTTTGCTTCGAAAATAGTAGACATAATAGAGAGACTTTAAAGCATCATAAAGTAGTTGGGAGGACGTGGCGGGGGGACTACCTTTTGTTGATACCCAATTATTGCACAGAAGTATTTCTCAAAAATACAAAGCAACAATGGGTTTTATTTTCTACTAATGCACAAAAAGACAAAACGAAATTCTTTCTTCTATTAGCAAACGATTCAAAAAGCGATCCTGAATCGATTGGTGGTATAAGGAAAGTAGAGTGAGGATTGCATAAACATATCCTTGCGCTGCAAGTGGCATGGGATGTAAAAATAATAAGAGATATATGACATTTGATTATTCAGTTGAAAGAAGCTGAGTTTGGGAAATCAGCGAAAATTTCTAAAATAAAAAAGCATTTTAATGTATTCACCATATAGTACGTACCTTGTCCTTGCGAACATTATTAGTTTTGCTCTGTGTAGAGCTCTGTTAATGGTATAAATCTGACTTCAGAAGAAGCCGATGATAATCAAATGTGGTTCATTTTGTTCCCAGAAATTCTTAAAGTTCGTCAATGCTGTCAAAATTGTTATGCAATGGAAGAATGGCAAAAGATTATCAACCGAAATAAAAGTTATTTGGCTTAGTTGTGGAGTTGGTAAAGAATTGAATTTTGTTTGAATTTTGGCAAATAAATGCCATGAAGTTTTTTCCTTACCCTATATAGCATTTAATTGCTACATATATGTACATATATATATATATATGTAAATATACATAAATATATTTATAAATATATAAGCTTATATTATATCATATTTGTATACATATTTAATACAATAGATGACGTTTTGAGGTCGTAATCGTGATTTCAAAACGCGGACAAACGTCAGCTGCAGACGGTGAAAAATAACGCCCGCCACAGGCATTTGCAATAAAATTTCATACTGTAAAAAAATGTTCTCAATTTTTGGACTGGTTTGATAAACCGTGCAAAAACGAGTGGTGAATATTAATTACTCCGTGAATGCGATCATCTAAAAAGAGGGCTTTGTCTGTCCTACATCACTTGTCGTATGGGGTATATCAAGCTTGTGCTTCCGTATGTAACATCCAGAGACTCACTTTTCATTATATTTATCTGAATTGATCTAAGCTTGTCTGTCCATCTGTCCATCCGATGGCTGCAGATGCAATTTGTTGTTCAACCCCAGAGGTCGCAATTGTTGAGATATTTGGATGGAATTTGGTACACTGGCGTGTTTCGGCTCAAGGACGAACGCTTTCGAAAATAGTTTGCATCGTACCACTTTCTCGACCACTCTCCACATAACGTATAATTTTGAAAAGTTATTGTTTGAAAAAATTTGCAATTGTTAGAATTTCGCGCCAAAAATCGCTAGTTAATAGTGTTTCGACATTTCAAATTTGTGCGACCTATTTGAATCGGGTGAGGCATTTTTTTGAACCGTCTGCTAAAATCAATAAAGTGTAGAAGAAATTAACCTTATCGAATTTGGACTCTGTTGGTCTATTTTTTGGTTTCCATCCCATATAAAGTCTTCGATGAATTATAAATCTCTACAAGGGAAATCTTTCAAATTTTTGATATTTTATGATGAAAATTGTTTCATAAGCGTAATTTGATATAAATCTTCAGTTGATAAATTTGGATCAACTAAGTCTATTTTTTGGGCAAAATCGTACACAAGGAGTGAAGTTATGAAGTATTAATCTTCATATGTCAAAAAATTGAAATTTCGTAGGGAATTTAGCTTGCAGAGGTTTGGTTCTTTGGTTAGGCCCTTTCGTAGAATAAAGAAACCAGAAACAACAACAACAAAACCAAATCAAGTAAAAAACATTACACTTCCCGGTGAAAGCCGGACAGGATTATACAGACAGTTTGTATGGCGGTGAGAAAATCTGGAAGGAACGTAAACGTCTAAGTTACCTTAGTAGTAACATTAATAGATACATTTTGTAATGTAATGTCAAGATCATTTAGAGTGTTGGTAAAGTAAAACTATCATATAGAGGTGGTAGAGGACATGCCCAATGAGGCAATGAGATAGAAATAAATTTTAATCAACAATACACCTGATGGTAGATGTAAAATTGAAAATGCTTTGAATTTGTGTCGCAAAATGCGTTCGCAATGTCCAGAATTTAAGGAGTTCGTTCCTCATATCCGCACATGTTCGTGTGACAATAGAGATTGCATTGCAAATGACTTGGAACCGCTGCTGCATTCTTTGCATGCATTCTTTCGTTTTGACTTTTAGTGCATTAGTTTGGCAGTTTGGATCAAGCCATACATTTGTTCATGTGTACAAATTACCCGAATGTGTGGACGTGGAAAAAATTGGCACTCATCAAATCCCGATATGTGGCAATAACAGCATTATGCTCAAGCTTGTTTGAAACGTCATGAATGTATCATGGGGGAAGACAATTTCTCACAGAATTAACAACCGCTCGTTATTGTGACTATAAAATTGTTTTGTGTATATACGAACTTACATATTTATGACATGTTATACACTCACAGACACAGATGCAGATGTATGCGCATATATAATAAGAGAATTTTGCGTGTGCATGGAATGATTCGTATGTTTTTACGCACTACTTACGTATGAATATGAGTGGACATAGCGAAAGGTTGATTGTCATGAAACTTACCAATTACAGTTAAGTAGGCTAATAATACTAGTGGCGGATGTGATGAAACTTGACATTCATAAGGACCCTCGTCACGTTCATTGGCGTATTGGATTAAAAGTTTCCAATCGTTTGGCTCTTCAAACTCCAGCGAATATCTTGAATCACCGCTATACGTATGACGACCGAATGTGATGAGCGCCAAGTCGTCGCCTTTTCGTCGCATCCATGACACCTGCAGATCAAGTAAACGAAAAATTTTAATGACAATAATACTGCGACCGATCCGCGATGGAAAACACAAAAACAACATTTTTTTCCTTCAAAACTACAGATGGTATGCTTTAATTCATTGGTAACATGCACATAATTGAGTGAATAATTGACAATAACAGGTGAGAATCATTTTCTTTATACATGTATGTAGATGTATGTATTATAATACAGTTAAAGTGTGTTTGCATTAGAAGGAAATTCTTAGCGAGCAGTCACTCAAAGGCGACCGACCCCCTTTTTTGTTTCGTTTAATTTCATTTTTGCATTTCAAATGTATTTTTGGTCTACAAAAATATCTCAAACCTTAACGAGTGGAACATACCTCAGCACATTTCGTGAGTATGTGAGCCTGTTTGATATTCGCAAGGAGGACTTTATTGAAATCCGCTTGTTTGCAACGCATTTTTAAATTTTCACATTTAATCCATTCTGTATTTCAGTGTTTTAATTAGCTCACGTGTAAAGGAACCAAAGCGATCCTACATCTAGATTGAGGTTTTGAAATGTTTTCAACAAAAGCTTATGATATATGAGGGAATAATCTTTCGTAGTTATATCTTTAGTCTGTCTTTAAACTTAAATCCACAGTATGTGTTATCCCGTCGAAGCACTAGATAGCAGAGTTTTTTCCTTTGACGTAATAATCCGTCTTATTGGTTCTTTATGATGGAAAAAAAAACCGCTTGAAAGTCATCGATTAGAGTCGCTCATCAAAAATGGATAGGCTATGATAATTGAAGTTCTGCACACAGTATGGGACAATTTTAATCAATCTTCAACTTTGATTACAACTGGTCATAACAGTAAGCGTTCTTCGACGAACTAGAAAGGTTTAATCTACTACGAGCTTCTTTAATCTACTCGAGCTTCTCATTTAGTAACTGAGGAACGTAACCGATAAAAGCCAATGTAATTCAACTGAGCGATTAAGAAAAACGCGATGGCCATGCTATTTTCATTTTTAATATGGCAATGACCTTAAGCGGGCATTAGAATGAACTCTACTGGGATGTGTTGTCAATTCTATGCGCTGATCTCTCTGATTGCTGTTTCTCTCAGTCGATGATTCATGGTCTCCCTGAGTAGTACCTCCCCGTCACTGTTGCTACGTTAGCAAAACATTAAGTCCTTTAAGAGGAAAGTTTTCATCCAAGGTTTATCTGGGGTAAAAGCATCATTTATTTTTTGATAATAAAAACAAGCAACAAACACTGCAGAGGGCCACGGCCCACCATTAAATACTTTAGGTCACCGAACGTTTTTCATATAACGATTGTCCAAAATAAGGCGTTGTGTGGCAAGCGGTCGAAGAATTGATCCGATCCGTACCATCCCCAATAGCGTTGGTCCTTGCGTGAAAACACATCATTGTATCAAATTTCATGAAAATATCTCAAAAATTGCGTCCTTTAGGTTGAATATCGTAAAATAAGATGTAAAGACCGACAGACGAACATAGGAACATGAACAAACATAGCTTCATTGCTTCAGAATTACTTTTTACACAATAAAAAATGGATCGGTATAATAAAAGGCGAATCTAGTGCAAGTCGTTCCGCCTTCTGTGTCGTCATAAACTTTATACACTCTTGTAGCACAAGCGGTATAGAGTATAAAAACAGATTGAAAAACCTTCAGGCACGTATATGACGTATATGAATGTATTTCATAGAATCTCAAGTTAATAATTCATAAAAAATTTAATTGGAGGGAAATGTAAGCTTTCAGCAGTTTCGCCTTCTTTGCGGCAACTACTATGCATACTTCCAACAGGAAAACAACAGGATTTTATTTATGGCCACAACTGTGTTGTCGTGTGTAACCGTGTAATAATAACAATATAACGTAAAGCAAAACAAACGAAAACAGCTTAGGAAAAGTTGATTTATTTGTATCATCCCACAAAAAATAATTCAATTTTCCCTGGGGAATGCATAACGAGTAATGAATAGTTCTGAAGATAAAGACTCTCGCATGATGCAAAAAAAAACAAAAATGTGTTATTGGAAAATGCTTTGAATATAGCATAGGCATGTTTTTTTTTCTATTTTTTAATTTCAGGCGTGCTTATCCCTTAAATAATAAAATTGAAAAGGGATCAAGAATCTAGGCATAGCAACTTGGGACAATGCTTTCATTTCGGACTTGTGCATTTAGATATCTATGGTAAATTCAACGTCGATCTTATCACTTATTTCGAATGTGATAACTTAATTCGAATTTTGAGATAAACTTTCATCAATAGTCTAAGATATTTCTTCGCGCCATCTAAAAATCGAAAATGAAAACGCTCCGTCTTGATCAGCCCATTGATCATTATTAACGGCACTGATGGAATTCATATCTTCTAATACATTACTTACTCTCATTGGTGGGATATCACCAAGCAGAACTGTGTGTGTCTTTCAATAACGTCGAATATTTCCGTATTTACTGCTTCGATTGGCTTTCCTAATAGTTAGACATGTGCGTTTACGTGTTTGTATATTAAGATAAATGCGTGAATGAAAGCGGTTGCACGTTGAAATATGCAATTCTTTTTGATGGATTGCTAATGAAATGAAATGGAAAGGCTACGACAGGCTCAGGCACTTGCCTGCACATCGTCAAAGTAAAAAAAAAAAAAAGGCAAGTTTTTCACAAACATCTACACAAAATAAACGCTTACAAATATGAACACATAAAAATCGTTGTATAAGTGCTTGCACATATATATAGTGTGTAAGCAAATTTTTTTCCTCAATACTGATATGTGCCTTGCTCTGTGAGTGGCTGTGCTATCTGTAAAACTTACCGTCTTTCCTTGCAAATCGTTTACTCTACAATGCAGGAAAACGTTCGATCCCAGTTGTGTGCTTACGTTAACTGTTGTGTATGGATCGGCAAAGAATGGAAATGGTTCGTGTGTAGTTGTATCCGTTATTTCCAATTCCTCATCTTCTGGTGTATCTGTGAATGGTGACGAGAACTCTTGCCAAAAGTTTTTTGGAAATGTGTCGAAAGGATCTCCGGCTCTTGGTCGTTTCACTGCAAGCAATAAATCAAAAATTTGAGAAGAAAAAAGAGAACCAAAAATAAATATTTATTTTAACTGAATGACATGCGGATAGATAGATTTATAAGTCAGCACTTACAAGGTGATGAAAAGGACCCGATATGTTGCAATGTTGAATAAATTATTGCAAATAACCAAATTGCTTTTGATTCCATAGCTATCAAAAAAAATTGAGTAAATATTCTATCAATAAATAACATTATATTATAAAATAGATAAAAGAAGACTAATAAAAAATATATTAAAATATATTAAAGAATATGCGCAATCGCTTCTTTTTTATTAACAGTAACAGTACAGCAGCAGTAGGAGATTGCAATCACTTTTCTTCTGACGTTTGCAGCGCGCTGATCAATATTGCCTTTAAATACTAATTCCTATTGTTTTTTTTCTCTTTTTTTTTTCTCAATAACATGACGCAGTTACTCAGGCGATGTCCCCTATTCGTGTAAGAAAGATATAATGAAAGGGGAAGGGATAGCGACATGGCTGCAGCAGTGTCATATGTTCGCGGACTGAGCACTCGCTATAGCAACCATTAAAGTAAACTCGGCCACACTTGCGATTTGAAGCCGAGACTTTGGTGGTTGTGTTAGTTGTTGGTTAATCGACTAAAATATTCCGTAGCATGATCAACTTTGAGGACCTTGCCTCGTGTAAAATGCCTTTGGCAAAACATCGAATCTGAAAAGCTCGCGCCAAATTATTTATCCGACATACTTATCCGAAACAAAAATTCAAAACGATCTTTAAGGCAATAGACTTAAATATTATATAATTATAAGGAAATTTCTTCTATTAACTGACGTCATACCTAGACCATTGAGAATTTTTTAAGAAACCAACTGTTGTTTTGCATAATAAACGCTTTGAATTCATTAGAATAGATGGAAAGAAATGCATTACCGAAAGCAAATTATATCTTGGACATAGCAAGTGTAATGATCGTGTGGCTAGTATTCTAAAAATCATCATCAAGTTTGGGAAGATATTGGTACCCAATTACACACTATGTGAATTGAAGTCGACGCTAACCGGACCAAGAAAGCTGAACGGCCTTTGGCAAATACTGCAAAATAGGCAGGTTCAACAATTCAGGCAGTTCTCATTCTTTTCATTTGAAGTTTGTGCTGCAACTTCAGCACAACATTCGCTAGTGAAGCACTTCACATTTATTAATAAACCAGTGTCTTTTTTTCTTGCACACAAAAATCAATATTTTCAGAAAACTCTACTTGTGTCAATAGATATAAGGATTTAGTTAATTTCTTTGAATTTGGACTAGTTGCGCTGCTTGGCGCAGAGCCCCTTGAGCGTGTTGCCATTTTTCAATATTTTTCAAAAATAATTTCTTTCTTCTAATGTTTTTGAAGGCATGCTTGATAATCTTCTGCTACTTTTCCTTTTATCGAAAAAGAAATTCCTAAAAAAATTCTTTTTTTTAGGCTGTTACGATACCCCACCGACTACCCACTTAACCTACTGTCTCCCGTTGTAGTTTCAAAGGAACTTTTCGAGGAACTATTTCCGGTGCTGTGTTGAATGTATGCACAAAGGTGCTAAATAAATTTGTTGTATCGCAGTTAATTAACAAAAGCTGTCAGCTGTGGTCCCAATATATATAATTTAGACCATCTTGCTAATTGTTGCATTATGAAACCGTTGTCAACTTTGGAAAAATGTAAACTACGTGGAATATTGATTTTCTAAACTTCTATCGACAGGTGTATCTGTTATATAGCATTCATCGCGTGATGAATGCATGAGCAGGCACGTTGAAACTTGTCATCAATTAAAGAGAATAAAAAATAATTATTCAACATCAGGAAGAGGAAGTTCTATTTTATGCACTGAGCTATATTTGGAATGGGCATTGATGCACATACACGTACACATAGGCAGCTTCATAATAAGTGGCATTCATTGAACTTTTTTGCAATAAACCGAAATCTTCGCTAGTTGTCTGGCCTGCCGTTTTGCCATCTTATTGACTTCGAGACGTCAAAGTCTTTCGATTCTTTCAATTTGCTTCGTAATGTAGTCGCAGTGGCATTAAGCTCTTAAAAACAGCGTTTAATATACCCGTTTGGATCACTAATCATAGTATACAGATATAAATTTGTGTTTAAATCCTTGCGCTTCTATTGAATAATCTTAAAAAATTTTATTATGATGGATGAAGAATTCGAGTTTTTTGATATAAATTGTACATATTGACAAAGATTAGCTTTGGAGGAAAAATGAAAGTACAGAAAGCTCTTCAAAGAACTTGAAAATGTAGGACGTCTTCAGCAGATGTAAATGCTTCCTGGTTTCCCCCTTAAACATAGCCTGCGGGGCCTTGCGTACAATCTGTATTTTCATCAGATAATCATCTTACATGTTTTAGATCGAATTTATTAAAGGGAATCTGGGATGATGTTGTAAATAAAATGCATAAAATATATTCACCCCTTGCCAGCAAGCGTAAGAATGAAATTTAGTTGTAGACATAGCAAGAGGTTATTACGTATGAATGTACACATCTATGCACTTACGTCTGTGAAGGATCTATTAAGAAATGTTAAGCATACTTCAGGAGAGCAAAAGGTCTTTAATGTTTGATTGTGTGCATGGATGAATTTATGTATAAGCATGTATACATATGCATACTAATGATGATTGCATAGGTTTCTTTCTACTTCGTTTTCTTAAAAATAAAATATTTATTCGTTTCTTTTTCATTTTCCCCTATTTCGAATGCAATTGTGCGATTTTTAATCGGGGGAGAATGCGTTTCATTTACGAGCAAACATGAACAAAGTAAAATTATATGAAATAAGGTGAAATAGGTAGCGATAGTAAGTTGCGATCTAATGAAAGGACATACGCATATATTAACCGTTCTATTGTAAATAAACCCTTTGCATTTCATTCTCTTTTTCAGCCTTTTGCTATAAAAACCTAGCTTATCTGCAATATGTCGATATGGCAATGCCGCAAGGATAGCTGAATCGTAGAGAATAGAATTTTTTGTAGCATTTCTCTTCTAACTGTTTAGCGAAAAATATAACGTGGCTTCCAGAAATAAAATGCTCTACTTCTGATAGAACTTGTACACGTTCCTTTAACTAATGATTCAAGGGACATTGGAAACTAACACACACATATATTCTCATCGACAGAAGTTACTTTCGTACAAATTTCGCATATATCTTGGAGAATTCTTAATAATCGGTCCATTTTATTCATACATTTGAACTTGAGTATTAGACTTTTCGATTCGAAACGTCAGATTGAATCATTGGGAATAAATTGAGAGCTTGATTTTCAAACCCAAAGGAATTTCTTTTAATTAATAACTACAAGCTTCTCAAAATATGTCATAGCGAAACTGTGCATATTGTAGAAGAAATTAAACAGTGTTTCTATGCTTCGTGTTAATGATAAGCAGACAGACAGGAACGGGTTGTGTCTAACTAGAAGCTTATCCACAATAATCAAAATATTTAAACTCAATCGTAGTTTGCGTACAAATGACTCTAGTTTACAAAGCAGTTCGTGACTTTTCGATGTGGACATTTCACGGGATTCAGGTGGCGACCGCTATTTTAATAACCTTGTCTTCAAATTTGAAATATATCCGCTGGCATGTCTATCTCTTGTATAGTGGACCGTATTGCCTTGAAAATGGGGAAGTCGTAGGACACTCTCTTATTGCAATATCATTATGGAAGGGGAATAAGCGAACTAAGAGTGGCTCAAAAGCATCAAATGCTCGATTAATAATGTCTACTTAAAGTTATTATTCAACACTTACAACGCTTTCGAATTTTTGAAGGCTTTGTTCAAGATCATCAAAAGGGGAACAAGTGCTGCGTAAAAAATTTATACAAAGCACGTTATTTCCATTTTTATAAACATCCACTTATAAAACTTTTCTATTTACTTCTTCTTAACTATTATATTATAATAAAGAAATTTCCTTCTTTTTTCAATAGAGAGAGAACCGTTAACCTACAGTTTAGAAATTTATTTTCCTATTATGGCATACATTTTCCCTACAACGTTTCTTTGAGATGCAAGTGCATCTTGTTGGATTATTTCCTTTTACTTTTTGTAGATTTTATTTTTGATGTATTCCAAGGCTTTCGCCAATAGTAAAATTTGTTGGATTCTTGCAAACAAATTTTTAAATGGTTAAATGAGGTAAATACCTTACGCCTTTACATTTTGCCGCTAATAGTTACGAATACTGTATGTGTGGGCAGTTTTTTTAATAAATTCATATGACAAACTTCTCCATCTGTTACGAGAGATGGCATTGTGGCAAGAACACAATGAAACATATATGGGATTTTAAAAACGCTTTAAATTGAAAGCCAATCCACTTGCTTCACTTATGCTTTCATAACCTAATTCGTTTAGCGGTTAGAATTTCGATGAGATGTCATTGCCTACGCAATTAATATCTTCCGTTCCATTCACATACGGTAAAATGGTACCGAGCTCGTTATTTATCCCATCTCTGGAGAAACGTAAACGAATACATTGAATTTCCTTAATGTGGAATCAAAGTTAAAGGTTATTTACATTGAATCAACGTTAAGCTCTCTTAAGATTTTTTTATATAATTGTACATGAAGAATTTTGTGATATATATATATATACATATATATATATATATATACATATCCATGATTTTTTTTAGAGATGGCGTACAAGGAGAGATAAAAAGTCGATGTTCTTGTCGCAGTTTCCGGAACTATTGTTTTTTTCTTTCTGTAACGGTCACGTTTTATAATTGAAATGAAAACCAATCGTAACATCACGATACATCAACTTGATGGAATTTCAATAAAATTAAAAGATCATTTTTCCAATACCGAAGAGCATAAAAAACCAGGTGATGACTTATCATTTAAGTCAACAGGTAGGATTTGTGGAATTGGACCAAGGTAAAAATTTGTCTAAAATGGGCATTAAACTGAAGCTACTAAAGTTTAACACTAGACTTACCGCACTCGTCATTTTGACAGGTTCAAGCGCTCAAGCTCGCAAAACTCTGCACAAACTCTGCATGTCAACTTTTGTTTTTTGGGACCTACCCCCCACTTTCCTATTTCTAGATGTTGTAGACTTTTTTTCACCGGAAATATTTGTGCAAAATTTCAGGTTTCTATCATTACCTCGCATATAACAAAAAATGTATAATTTTTATATATTTTTTATTACTTCCTTTGAAGAAGAAGTGGAAATCTAGTTGAATGATTTCGAATCATACCTTACAGGACTCATTGAAACCGCGCCGATGAATTTGAAATCGAGAACAGGGTGAAATAGTCTAGCTTTGCTTAGATGAAACATATATAAGCTCACAGCATGACTTGAAATAGTTCTTTTTGTACCCCTCATCCTTCGATGATTCATTTTGTCAAAATGTTTGCAGAGCGCCTAGACGGAAGCTTCAGAGACCGCTCAAAGTATGTACATCCTTGATCAGCATCAAAATCTGAATTGATTTAAGCATGTCCGTTTGTCCGTCTGTAAATTCACCTGACCGCAAAAATGAATGCAGGCTGGCCTTGAAAATAGGCCAAATCGGTCGAAGTGCACGCCTAGTGTACATCGTAAGCTAAGAACACCCCTGTTTTTTGAAAGGAATAAAAAAAATGTTTGTTTGTTCACTACTCATAAACTACAACAGATAAATCGACAAAAATTTGAACGTGTACTTCATGGTGCTGTAGTATTTGTACGAAAATAGATAAAATTGGCCACGCCTACCCAATATTTTAGTGTATCAAAATTTAATTTCTTTTTGAATGCCTTTATAACGCATAGAAGCAATCTTCAAGAACGCAATAAAATTCTCCCAATCTGTCCATTTTCGATAAACGAGGCAAATTACTGTTATTGAGGACATATCTGAGTGTAGAAGTTTTGCTGAAAGGCATAAAACAATTATTACTCACCGTTGAAAGTTCCATTACTGAATTGGCCTTACATGTAGTTGCATGCGATTTGTACAGCAAACTAGGATTAACGTCATACTACTCTGTAATGTATTAAAACATAGCTGGTCTGCAAAAAGAAAAATGAATTTTTTCTATTAAGTTTTAAAATAAACGTAGTTTGTAAGTAAAAAGAGTTTATTTATTTATTTCTTTATTTATTTGTTTATTCTACTTATGCAAGAAAGTCAACTAAAATAAATTGACAGTCGCGTTCAATTGACTCTTAAAGTAAATCTTAAATTAATTAATATTAAAACTTAGTATAAGTATAATAAAACAAATAAGAAGGAAAAAAAAGAAAAAAAGCATGCACATAACTGGCCTAGAGCCACACCCACAAACGGTACAGGACCAAATTGCAAATAAACCCTTAAGCCATCGCAAACATGCATAAGATTGGCAACCGATAATAGTTAACAACAATTAATTTTCGACTCATCGTGACTTTTTAAGGTTAGGAGCGAGTTTAAGTACGACATAGGTAAATTAGGCGCATTAAGCAATGTTGCTTTAATAGACTTTAAAGAGTCCGATAATGAGAATAAGTGATAGACATCATTTAGGTACTTGCAAACAACTCTGAGCGGGTTAAACAGCTCTTAATTATATTACACATTGACTAAGCTTAACCAAGATAAAGTGCCTAGAGAAGCGGTTATGAACATTAAAGCTTACTCCACCAAGTAATGCAGGCGAGCCAATAGCACCATTTATTACTTTGATTACGAAAGAAACGCCAAGAACAAATCTACGTTTCTCGAGAGACGGTAATGACAACAGAAACCTATTTTCATAGGGGGGGAAGAGAGGCAATCGGATCCCAATCTAAATTCCTAAGAGCAAACAACAAGAATTGCTTTTGAGCAGATTCAATTGAATCTACATAGCACCTATATGAAGGAGACCACACAACAGAGGCATACTCAAGCATAGGTCTAACCAAACACATGTACAACCTTTTAGTAATGTAAGGATCATCAAGCTCTTTCGACCACCTCTTTATAAAACCAAGCGCGGACTTAGTTTTGCTTAACAAGAGTTCAATGTGCAAGTTAAAACGTAATCTATGGTCAAATAGAACGTCTAAATCTGTGAACGTATCGACGTCCTCCAACTTATGCGAAGCAATAAAATACTGAGTAATGAACGATTTTCTTCTTGAGAAAGAAAGCTTCTTACATTTACTGAGATTTCGTTTCAGAAGATTCAAAGTGCACCATGCAACGAAATTATTCAAGTCACTTTGAAGCTGATTTGATTGCGATTCTAGAGAGAAGGAAGAAAACAGTTTCACATCATTAGCGCACATAAAGATTTGATTGGAATTAATCACCGATGAGATATCATTAATGTGTAAATTAAATAAAATGGGATCTGAGTGGGTGCCTTGAGGCACGCTAGATGTCACGGGGAATTCATCCGATGTGATGAACTTAAACAGAATCCTGAAGGATGTAGTGCTTATCCATTTCACTAAATAGAACGGGAAGCCAAAGGCTTGGAGTTTAAAGATAAGTAAATTATGGTTAACCAAATCGAACGCTTTGCTTAAATCAGTGTATATTACATCTGTGCGAGAGCCACTAGAAAAAGCCTTGAAAACATGACAAGTAAACTCTGACAAATTGGTGACCGTAGATCGCCCTTTCCGAAAGCCATGCTGTGGTGGAGAAATATACGAATTGCGGGTTTTAAATAAAAAATGTTGTTTGTATTCACTTCTTGGGTTCAAAAATTAAGATATCTGGAAATCATGACGCTTTCAGGAGATCCAAGTAATTACACTGATATGCATTGATACATGAGATTAAAGAAAGCCATTTATTTGCCACGTTCACTATGCTATTTAAAACCTCTGAGCCCAGTTTCTCGGCATCCGTTCTAGTCAATAGTTTTCATTAATTTTCTGGATTTTTAATCCTAAATTTTAGCTTTCTGTTCAATCTTTGGAGTCTATGGGAAATGTTGTGGAATTGTGTACAGAAGAAGCTTACGTTCGATCTGAGGTTCTCTGCTCTCAAGTTTTTGAATAAGGGTTTCAAAGGATACGAGAAATCTATAATATCCCGAAATACTGAGTTAAGTGTATTTTATAAACGCATAAAAGACTTAATGATAACGCCTGCTTCCAAAAACAACTTTTAAGAAAAAGTATATCCAAACTTTAGAAATGAACGTATGTTGACTTTTAGCGTTTCGGAAATTTTAAAGATCGGGGAGTTTTCTTGTATAGTTTGTGGAACCACCTACTGGTGAAATTTCCAAGAAGTTCAGCTTTAACAGTTGTCTGGTGTACTAAAATGATACTTCTGTTGTTGCAGTCCTTCCGCTAATGGCTTTGCTTAGTTTAATATAAGTTTTGAACATTTTTTATCGTTCGTTTGATAACAAAATTCGAAAGTTTTCTTTCGAATTCTTCGATTTTTTTTTGTCTTGTCCGCTCTTCAAGAAGCCCTCTAGGTGAAAGTTTTTTTGTTTGCTTTCAATTTCAACTAATTATTTTCTAGGTGCTTATGTATAACGGAGCCTTGGATACGGTGCCTCCATTGCATATGCAATGGTACTGAAGATGAGTAGGAGAGCGAAGATTCAAGTTATCCAGGGAACTTAAACGAACGAAGCGTTTATTATTTGTCGCGTCATCCCCGCTTCTTATCTGCTTATCGCAATGTGCCCCTGCGTGTAAATAAAAGTTGATTTCCTCTAATAGGAAATGCGGGAAGTAGATGTAAGTGATTAAAAAAAAAAATTATTTCTTTTAATGTCTCGTGATATGAAGTTATTTGAGTCTATAAACCTTGATTAAAACAGTCTCTACCTATATATGTGCGATCAAAAAAAAAAAAAAAAAAAAAAAAAATATATATATATATATACATATATACAAATAAATAAATAAATTAATTGTAATGCAATTGTTTCTTTAATGAATTAAAATTTTTCAATTTCAATTTGCGTTGACGCAAGAGTGAAATTGAAAAATATGTGATATAATTTTATTATTTTGAAGGCTTTGCCTCTACGTAACATTTACATTTCAATAAGACATATATTATTGAATCGATCTTATAATTATGTTTGTCAATTTTGGAACGGGAATTAATGTTTATAATAACGAATTCATTTCTCGTATTACGTATTACGCAACGATCCAGAATATTTGTGTGTACACGTTATGGGATCATCGGTATGATGTGTGTTTTCAGCAGCCCTTGGATAAGTTGATATTTGGGCAGTGAACGCTGAAGATCAATAATCTTTTTGAGTGGCTTTTAAATTTTGTAATTTATCACGAGTAGATATATATATATATATATATACATATAAAATAATTCATTTATATCTTTAAGATGGCGAGAGCAGAATATTTCAAGTATAAGCAGGCGAATAGCATGCTCTTCAGCATGCTGCAGTGAAATGAAAATCAATGTTAATCAATAAATTTTCTTTTGCGTGTTAATAATGAATGTTAATAATTTGCATCCGCGTCGATACATGTATGTATAGAAATAAAAAAAAAAGTTCTTCTGTTGGGTGTTCATAATGTATGTTAATAATTTGCATCGCGTTGATATATATAAACGTTTCTCATTCTCTTACGCGGTTTTCAACAATCTGAATGCCATGGTTAACATTTACTTAACGTGTGCCTACATCTCATCATAGACTATCGCGGATACATTTTATAGAGTTATTTGTTTTCTTTAATATGCACACACTTCAAATGTAGAGAGCATGTACGCGGAGAGGCGAATTGTCCGTTCGTTAATTAATTCAATTTCATCGCACTGTTGTGCATTTTAAAAAGGCTGCTTATTTCGCTGGTCGAATTGTTATTCACTTAAGAATGCGCGTCATTTTGCACGTAACTGCCATCCATTGACAAGACTTTATGTCGCCATTTTGACAGTTGACTCATTTATATTTGCGTTGTTCACGTATATGGCCGTTACGGCCATTACAATGACCCGCTTAAAAGTGGAGAAAATTAAGATACATATTACATAAAAAATAAGCTTAAGCATACGGATTACTGTTATGCAATGCATAGCGCAACATGTGCGCATACGAATGAAAGTGATGCAAAGCAAGTGCTAAAATCTCTCGTTCGTCCCTCTTTTCTAAGATGATCGGCAACTTTGTTTTCATCGTTCACGACGAGTGTCAGTTATATCACATGAGTACGGTTGTCGCTTTTCGAAAAAGTAATAGTGGATTGCACCGACTACGGTAAATATGCAATTGTTGCATGAATGATAAGCAGCGTTTGAAAAAACTTAGAAATCTTTTGAGAGAGAGAGGAGAAAGAGGCTGAAAACTTCTTCTAAAAGCAGTTTAACTAAGGCACCCTACCATGTCATTGCAGGCAATAGTTGGGCAAGCATTACAGGGCTCGATTGTTTACTTGGAGGCATAGAGAAATACGCTCAAATTTTAAGGTGTTTTTATGGACAGAGATGATACTTTTCCAAACTCAATTATCGAGTACTTAATGAACAAGTATATACAGGGAATCGTGCAAACATACGTTATTTCTCTACCAACAGTTTTTCCTTTTAGCGTTATCGCAGAATTTATTCAGCATGCATCCTAAGGTAACGAGTTGAGTAAATGGTATTGTCCTTAAAAATTCTTACTATTAGAGCTGTTTATGGATATATTCATTCCTCTTGCATATATTCCTATCCGTCCATCTATATCTAGAAATATCGGTTTGTACGGAAAGTTATTTCGTTTCTTTCTAACAGTGCATTTAATTTCAATTTTTTCATCTCCAAGTTCACATTTAAGAAGCGCGGTCTGAGAGCTGATATCATAATACTTGTGTGGGAAAAATTTGTTTTAATTCTGCGCAAAAGCTTTCACTTGGTGTGTTTCCAAATACGGAAAGTCGAAAGCAGGGCTTACTCTATTACAAGCGAAAAGGTGAAAATGATGTCCAAGCAGGGAAAGAACTATTGGATGCGTATAGAGGTGATGAAGGGACAGGATGTCAGTCCCGAAACTGGTTTGCAAAGATTCCTTTCGACGCTTTTGCATGAAGTTGTGGAAGGTCAGTAGAAGCTG